AAGAGCCATTTCTCTGTAATAAACTCTCTTTTCCAAAGATGAGTGATTTCTCGATCAGATAGATTTATTATTATTTGTTATATATTATTTATTTATCCCTTTGTTGTTTCAGCAACATTAAATTTAAAAACTGTACGTTTGAGTTAAAATATATATTTATAATTTTAATAAATGACAAATTAAAAAAGCATGAAATTTTTTTTTTGTATCGAAAAAATATCGAACCGTGAATTTTGTGTATCATTGCACCCCTAAAATAAATAAATAAATATATATATATATATATATATATACACACACACACACACAGGAGGAAATTCCATAAATTCTATCCGGTGGGAAATTTAAAAACTCAAAATAATGTCACGGTTCCTCGAGGTCTACAGACCTGCATTAGTCTGTTTATTACTCTGTCACATTTACAATACACATTTCACAAATAACAGATGAAAACAGTAATAAATCCTTTACAGCAGGAGAAAACAAAAATCAGATAGTCATCATTAAATATCTATATATCTTTGTATACTTTAAACATGACGTCTGTCATCCATACGCCCCGGATACTGACTCATTCCACTTTATTCACAGAATCTTCAGGCTGGAGCAGAAGTTCCTGTTCAGCTGTTTCATTTTCAATATTTTAGTATATACTTAGACAACAAACCAGGAGGGCCTCACACATTTCACTCATTGGTTTTGACAGAAAAATCACACTGACCACCAAACATGCTGAGAAAACGTAGCACTACCAACAGAAATCCACATCAAAGACAACCTGGAGGGATGTTTTCATGTTTCAGCACTTGGAGCTGCACAGGCTGAGACAACGTACTGTGTCTTTAGTTTCTGGTCATATTGAATTGCAAATTCTTCCACTACTGTTTTTTTTTTTTTAATTAAACAGCTGCCGTGTGCAACATAACACAAGGATTGGAAGCAAGTATTTGAAAGTCAAATAAGTTTAAACAAAGATGTCGCTCTGACGAACCAGAATCATGTCATTCCTTTCTATTATACAAAAACAAAAAAACAAAAACAAAACTACAGTACATCCTTCAGTTGTATTTTTGTGTGTTGGATCATTTAACTTGACAAGCAAGAAAGGAATACACACAACAGCAACTGTTGAAACCCAATTTACACCTACGAGTGAAGAAAGTGGGACTTGAGCATCAAACCATCTGGGCCTTTATCACCAGGCTGCGACTGTGGGGAACAAAAAAAACCAACTGAATGAAATGATGGTGGGAAGAAGACGGCTTAGAAGATGGGAATGTAGTTGTCGATTTTGGCGCGGTGCCGCTGGGCGATGCACTCGGCGATCCAGACGATGTTCCTGCACTCTTGCTCCTTCAGCTTGACGTAGGCGTAGAAAACACTGAAGTGGAACTGGTTGAGGAAGGCCAGCTTATTCAGCTTCACCTACAAACACGAAGGAGGTGGAAAGACAAGGTTAGTACTGACGTCAAAGAATAAAAAATGAAAACAAAAGACGTGGTTAAGGTTGACACAAAGGGATCCAACTTCAATCTCTCTATTAGCTCAGCCCAATCTTTTCTAAACTGGCAGTTCAGTTTCATTTATATTTCAGATACTCATCATTGCAGAGCTTGTCAGGTATTCCTTTACTCAAGATGCTGGACTAAGTTTTTTTTTGCACACATTGCAACTCAAGTGAAATGGTAAATGGACTGATTCTTCTACAGCACTACTCTGCCAGAGTACAACATTCACCCATTCACATGAGCACTGTCTAACTACTACTCCCACACATTCACACTCTGATGGATGCAACTTGTGGTTCATATCTTGCCCAAGGACATTTGGCATGCAGACTGGGGGGAGCCAGGAATCGAACCGTCGACCTTCCGATCAGTAGATGATCTACCTACGGAGCTACAGCCGCCCCACATGTCAATGACTTTACATGACTTCCACACAGGAAACTAAACACAAAATCCCAAAACACCATAAATATCCATGTTGTCTAACAAAAGCAGAAATGAGTTAAAATCTAGTGTAAAAGGTTCTTAGTCTGAGTGACAATTATGCACATTTGTTGATTTTTCCTTTAAGCAAAGCCATCCTGTAACAACGCTATGATAATTATAAGAAACAACATAATTTAAGATGCTCAAAGTTGTAAATAACACAGTTGTTTTTTTTCCAATTGTGGCACTGATTGGCTGAGGGGCAGTCATCTTTTCTGCCTATAGAAGAAACTAGTCGACTAATCATCACTAGTCTTTATCAGACGTACCAGTCGTTTAATGGTTTTACATTGACGCCCAATTCCCAGTAAATGTTATGCAGGCGTCTGCCACAAAATGACGCTTCATTGTTGAGAAACAACATAACTCTGTTAATCTAGGCCCGATCGCTTGTTAAGACTATTACTGTTAGTTCTTTTAAAGGTGAAAGATCGCGGATACAAGTGGAAGAAAAGAGCTTTCTCCAAAGGATGGATGGGCTCTTCTTTAGCACAGGGTAGAGCCCAGCTGAGGGAGTCGCTTCTGGGTACGATGTTCCGACCAGGCACGTCCTACCGGGAGGCGGCACTGGGGTACACCCAGGACAGGCTGGAGGGATCATCTCCCTGGGGTGGCCTGGGAACACCTCGATGTGTCCTCACTACGTTTTCACAATACGCATCATTCATAATGCGCCACACTTTACCATTGTTAATTTGTCATATTTTAATAATAGATGAATATCTTTTGTAGTAACCACAAGTATCGTCTCGATGCATGCTTGATCATCCAGGTAAGTAAATCCCCAAAGGTCGATTCTGTTCATCTGGACGTTTTCAGTGGGAGAAATGCTACGTCCAGATGGACAGAAACAACCTTTGTATCATGTTTAATATCGGTTTATGTGTTTTTCCTCACTGTCCTTTGAAGTATAACACGTAATGCACAATGTGGGGTGCTGCACAGTTAAGCGGCATGATTCGTAATAAAAGAATGTGAATAATGGTAACAAATGGCTTTATTTTGAGCATTTCTGGGGTTCTCAAAACCAGATATCGGAGTGTTCTAGTTGGACAGTCAGATTTTTTTCTCCCCTTTTACTTTCCTGGCTTGGAGAAATGACGGGCTTCAGACTTGGAGCTGTTCCAGCAATCATCATGGGGATGTGAGGTGTTTGGATAATAATATGGACAACCTGTGTGAGGCGGTTAAGGCTCTCACACAGTCAAATAGTTGGATGTGTGTAGTGTTGCAGTGAGACGCAGCCACACTCACACCATGTCATGACTGTACTGGCTTTACTGGGATGTAAGAAATTCTGCTGTATGAAATATTCTGAAGGCAAGACAAATCACTGAAAATAAATCTAATAACCACACATACAAACCTGCATTAATCCAGCAAAGTTAAAGTCAGCATGCTGTAAATAATAACAGCTTTGAACAATTAGTTCAAATGTAGAGGTCTGTGACTATTACACGACAGAGGTTAATACTGGGTGTAAAAAGGTCTTTGTGAGGGAGGGATGCATGTGCTTCACCTCATGCTCAAAGAAACGGTCCTCCAGGGTTTTATCTCCCGGGTTGCTACCGGCGCCCTCAAACAGCAGCTTGTACTCCTGAAGATGCAAGAACAAGTTTATGCTTTAACACAGACGTTAAACTGAAAGATTGAACCTCAATGGACAATGACAGACACCAAAGCACAAACTGGAAGATGAAAGTGAAAACAACTTGAAACATATGAGTTCAATGATGTTTCTATGGGGAATTCTGCAGGCCATTTCTGAACTTACAGGGTAAAAATCAGCTACAGCCTTGACCTGCTCATAGTCATCGGCACGGGCCAGCTGAGCAAGGCCTTCTGGGTAAAGCTTGCCACAGTGGGGAAAGAGTTTGGCACGGTCCTCTTTGGACAGCTCTGTGCCAAATGAGTTGATGGTGATGATGAAGGCTCTCCTGTCAGCTTCAAACTGCAGATACAGAGGCGAAGAAGAACAGTGATGAGTCAAGTTAAGGACGCTTCAGTGTCTTCGTGAGCAAACCTGCTCAGTGATAAAAGACCTCCCAGAGAACCAGAAGGAAGACTAGTGACACGTTCCTAAATCAGACTGAGGCCTCACCTCCAGAATAGGACACATGGTGTCAGCAGTCGTTCCTCCCAAGTTGGAGCAGAACTTGTAGAAAGCCTCCAGATAAGCCTGAGAGAACAAAATCTACTTAATGTATTTTACATGACAACTTTACATAAATGCATAACAATTTCATGCCAGTTCTGAATTTAAACTATGTAACAACTAGTCTGAGCTTGGAAAGAAAAGCGTCTGGACTTCTTTAAGTAGCTTGAAGATGTTTCACCTCTTATCCGAGAAGCTTCTTCAGTTCTAGGGTCAAATGGAGAGTCCCAGATTTAAGATCTGTGGGGGTAACCCACCGAGAGGGACAATGGACCCCCTAATGATCCTCTACCTAATCACACGAGCCAAGGTGTGAAAACGGGTGTAGGTCACAATCAGCCAAGGTTTCGGGTGAGCTCATTGTGAAACCTAGCCCCACCCCATCATGTGATCATGTGAATTGTGACCGACACCCGTTTTCACACCTTGGCTCATGTGATTAGGTAGAGGATCATTGGGGGTCCATTGTCCCTCTCGGTGGGTTACCCCCACAGAGTTTAAATCTGGGACTCTCCACCATTTGACCCTAGAACTGAAGAAGCTTCTCTGCTGATAGGTGAAACGTCTTCAAGCTACTTAAAGAAGTCCAGACGCTATTCTTTCCAAGCTCCTTAGACTACGATCACCTGGATGACTGAGAACCTTCACAGATATATAACTACTTTTAATGCTTCCATTAAATATTAAGAATATCTCCAACTCCCACGGGCACAAACTGGTTAACTTGTTCTTACTGATACAAAATCAACTGTCAGAAAATACCACGTGCTTTACCATATTCTGTGTTTCTCTGCTAATAATGATTTGGCCAGACTGGCAGACTAACGGGATGTTCACAGGACATTGGTAACTTGCAACTTAATACCTCCTGGTTATTCAAGTGAAAGCTAGAAGTCTGATAATTTCTCACAGAATCACAACTTCTCTGCCCTCAGCTTCCAGACTGACATCCACAGGACTATTAAAACTGTTTATTCTGTGACAAACGCTGGAAAGATTAGGAGCTACAACAATATCTGCAGTTGTCTACTAGAACACAACTGCCAGAGAGTTAATTAAAGATCGATACAATGACACGTTGCTTTATCAGTATTAATGTTTAAGTTGGAACAATTGTGCTCGACTACTGTTGATCTTAATTATTTAATTTTTATTGGTTTTTGACTTGTTCTTCTTCTGTTGGAGTAATTATGGTCTTTGAATTTCTGTTTCTTTAACTGAGTTAACTTCTGAGTTTCAGCTTTTACTGTCACATTTTTGCCTTTTTTGCTGTCATTTTATTTATTCACTTGCTTATGTGGACAGATTATGCTTTTTGCAACACATTGTGATTTCACCTGGAATGACAATGACTGTATAAATAAAGCTTAGCTCAGTTATTAATAAACTCTACCTTGTAAAGGGTGTTACGAATGATTTCAATGTTCATTTCATCCAAGTCCTGCTCAGATATGCAGTCCTGGAAGAACGCAGCTATTGAAAAGAAGAAAAAAAAAACAAAACAGAAATCAATATTTAGTGTTTTCCTCAGCTTTGGCGCCATCTCCTGTTCAACATAAGACATCACAATTCAGGTTTTACACCCCTGCTGGTTGGTGCCCATTCAGAGTAGGTATAAAGCTATCTTAAGTATGATACACAGATGTCAATACAAATGTGTCGCATACAGACAAACATTATGTTACTGCTTTGAAAAGTGAAAGCTAAACGCTACACCGACTGAAGGTGCGTGAGTTACCTTGACCAAATGAGTGTGACAACTTTCAGCCAAACTATAAGCAACTCACGTCTTTTTTTTCTTTTTTAAACAGGAAACCAAAGAAAGAAAATTAATAAACTTGAAAAGGGCAGAGCCACCGTTGTGAAAACCAATTTGAGTTTTAGATTTAGGGGAGTGATAAAGTTTTTTTTGAGGGCCTGTTCTTATTGCATAAAACCCCTGAATATTATTATGATGATGGAAAAGTCATATACAGATATTCACCCAGTGGTGTGTCCACAAGGATGGCATTGTAGAGCTCGGCGGGGGTCTGCGCAATGTTGACTGCCTCCATCTGTTCAAAGCTGCCCAGCGGGTGACACTTGGGCACCAGTTCAGAAATGGCCCGCTGGTGCAGAGTGCCCGTGATCAGCAGGATGACGTTATCGATCATATAGCTGTAGCTAAAGCCCAAAGGAAGGAGGGGAGGGATCGTCACAAATGTTCTACACTGTTATACTTTATAGAACAGAAATGTTACTTTACCGATTAAGGGCAAATACTTTACAGTACTTCAAAGTACTGCAGTGTCTACTGTTATTTACATGACAGTGCCAAATTTTAAATTAATTAATAATATGATATTCAGAAATTGTGCTAACAGACGTCTGTACTCAATTCAACTCGACCGGTTTAGCTTACGTGATGAAGTCCATGAAGCTGGCCAGCGGTTCATATGACTGGTTTCTCATGTGGCGAAACTCCACCACCATCTTCTCCTTTAGCTTGTCGTCAATAACGGACACGGTGAGAGGAGATGCCTCGTTTGCCAAGAAGCTGCCATAGTCTGTGCTCTGCAGGTGGAGCTTCAAGTCTGTAGGACAAACAGTTAGTCAGGGCTCTATTATTCTAAGGGTTAAAGTTTGAAACTAGAACTGCTAAAAATCTGTGGCTATAAATCTAGTTTTATATTAACATACAAAGAAACATAGTTTGTTTAGATGCTGGCTAATACAACAAAAAGCAGTATGAAGGTTTCCCCATAATGTTACCTTACTTGGTTATTTAAGAATTGTTAAATGTAGACTTGCAGTGTTGTACGGCAGCTTTTATTTTCTATAAAGAATTTTGCACTTCACTGACAAGATATTTTTTTGTCTTTTCAAACCAATTTCTCAACTGATTTGCGGTCCAACTTTCAGCTGCAGTGCCCCTGCATTTGTTGCTGTTCCTGTCTCTCAACCCAACTGCTAACTTGACTAGAAATTTGGCTACCTGGTCTTGGTTGTGTCCTAATCTGTCTCACGTTCATAAGTCTCTCTTGGAAAATAAATTTTAATCAAACACCTTGAAGGGAGTGCTGTAATTTGACGCTGAAATGTAACTGAACTGAATTCATCCCTGCCCGCTCCGTGCAGGTGAGCATAACAAAAGAAGCGTCTGCTATAAGAAAATCTCAATTATAATGATGTTAGCTAGTATTAGTTAGCAAGATATGAACCGAATGGTCACAGAAAAGGTAGAGAAAATGTTAACAGGAACACTGTAAAATCTCTTCTGACTACAATTTCACTTCCCTTAAAACTGGGAAGTGAGCAATAAACAGCAATATAGCCGGCCCTTGCTTGGGTTAATTTTAGCTAGCTACGCAGGATACAGACATATGACAGCAAGCTTGACGAACACAGTCTCAAATTATTTCACTTTAACGTGTGGCAGTTATCGATGTTGAGCTTGGCGACTAGATTATAACAGAAATTGGGACGACTTATATCGACAGTAAAACAGACACTAACGTTTAACAGCTAACTAGCTTTAAGCGCTAGCTTGTGGAATTAGCTGGCGTCTAGCTATTAGCCGCTAGCTATCCATTTTAACTCACCTTCCAGCGTCTCACACTGGACGAGATTTAAATAATCCGCCTGCGACAGTATTCCAGCTTTAAAACCTCTCACCAGCCCCTCCAGGTAGCCGTTATCGACGTTAAAATAGAGCTCAGAGAAAGGCATCCTGTCCGACCGTCAGACCCGTCTCTGCCACAGGATTCACTTTCAGTCCGGCTGGTTAGCACTAGCATCAGCTGACTGAACCACGTGACAGTCATCTGATCAGTCACCTGCTCATGATTTCATTACTGTATTGACAAATGACTTTGGCTGTTTGTATTCACAGTTTGCTTTATTACCAGCTCTGTTTCCAAAGCACATGATATTTATATTAGTTTTTGCATTACAATCCACACAAATAGAGGAAAACAACATGAGACCAAGTCTGTCACAGTCAACAAGCTGTTGTTGTGGCACCCTGAGTATTTTGAGCATCAAGAACAAGGTCCCCCCCATCATCTTTTTTTGCTATTGTTGTGACAATAGTTTGCATCATAGCACAGAGCGAAAAGCTCATTTGCTCCTCCCTGATGTGATGTTAGGGCGATATTTAGTTTCGCCAGTAGGTGGCAGTGGCGGCTCAGATAAATGGGTGACTGGCAAAATAATCCCTCACAAAAGTAACGCAGGCCACTTTATATTAATTGAACCTGTCAGTAACACAGAACTGTTTTGCTGTGTTTCAGGTGAGAGCAATATACGAGCACTACATACATTTATGTAAAGTTGATACTTATTTAACATGTTTGAAGTGTAATTCTTGTTTATATGGCGTTTAATGTGACCGAATAAGAGAGTTGTTTCACGTTATCCGTGGGCAACGCTAGTAACGTTTGTGTGCTAGCTAAGTGATGTTTGCCTCCTGCATTAGCCTCTGTAACTGTGTTGTTCCATCAGTAATATGAAAGAGTTCTGTTAGCTGGTTTCAGTTAAAGTTATAGGAAATAAACCACCCAGTACATGTTATGTTGTCTATTATTTACTGGTTTATTGTCTGTCATTTTCTCTGTGTACTAAGGGCTGATTACTAAAGGGCCATTACATGTAATCCTTTACAAAAGTAACGCAGGCCAGTTATTGTAATGGCAGCTGTCAGTAACACAGAACTGTTTTGCTGTGTTTCAGCGCAATAAACGTCCATGTGCACCTGGATGAACCTTGTCTTCCTTCAGTGTGTTGCATTATTGTTATTTTTTTATTATAAGCAGAATAAGATACACCAAAAATCCCGACCGTATCTCGCTTGTTTCTGGTTAAATGCGATAAAATAAATAAATCCTACAGCAGTGACCAAGGCAGGAAAAAAGTGAAGAGACAAAAATAGCACTGAAAACAGTAGAATATGAATTTAGTTTTGAAAAGGAAAAAGAACTCAAATAGATGAACAATAATTGAATTTTTAAAAAAAAAAAAACAAACTCCTGCATACTGTAGTCAGCTTTGTCTCCATCTAGTGGAGACCTACCAGATCTAATGCTGTGATTTTTCTATTCACTCCCACCACAGGTTAGACTGACGCCGCATGTCACTGGAGAGTGGCATTAGTCGAACATCCCTTCGGTGGATATTAGCTACTCACAAATGGCACCCTTACAAACTCCAGCTACTGCAGCATCTCAACGAGGATGACCCAGATCGGGGCACAGAATTTGCAGAATGGGCAAAACAAAAATTGGAACAGGACCCTCACTTCACGCAGAAAATTTTGTTCAGTGATGAGACAAACTTTTATGTGAGTGGTGAAGTTAACCAACAAAACCACCGCTATTGGTCTGACACTAACCCACATTGGATGGATCCCTCCAAGACTGTTGTGTCTTCACCTTTGTCTGCACTTCAGTATTCCTTTGAATTCCTTTATATCCTGTTTCCATTTTGGTGCAGTTACACTTACATCTTATACCAACTAGTAATTTTTATTTTGTGGTTTATTTTCATATGGTGTGTCTCTTCTCAATAAAAATCTAATTTATTACTCATAAATGACTCATACATTTTTTTATTATAACTGTTCTGTAGGAGTTGAAGTAAAGAATCATCTGTAAGGCCCATCCCTAATGATGCTTTGTTCTTATGTCAGTCTATCCCTTTAGGGCTTTTTTGGCTTCTATAATCACTTTACCTTCCAGTCCAGCGTCCTTTCCACTTATTTGCACCTGAACCAACAGCTCCACCAGCAAATGACTGCTTTCCTCAGCATTTATCCCCACTGCAGTACATTTGTTACAGTCATTGGTGCTGCTGTTTATACACTTCAGTCACTCCCATGTTATTAACATATGTGTGATATGAAAGGCGCTCCTGTGGTTTCTAAAATACTGTCAAAGTCAAAGTGGATCGTTGTTGCACAGAGAGCCCCAGAACAGAAACTTTCTTTTTTTGGTTTAATTACATAGCACATACCAAGCATAATCAACCTCCTCATGGCAATGGATATCATGAACTGCACCTCATGAAATTATTTAAAGTGTGTTAGACATTTATGTTTTTTACACATTTATTCACAACTGTTTTTTCAACTTAATCCTTCCTCAGAATATACATACACATACATACATAACAAATATTAATAAATAACAAAGACAAACACACTCTTTTCCTCCTTGGGATTTTATTGGTTTATATTTTTTCCAACCTAAACAACTGATCTTAATTCATCTAAATTGTGAAGCTTTGAGGTTTTTACTAAAAGGTGTTTCTGTCATGGCAAATTGTGATCATTGGCCATGAAATTTGCTGTCATTCATTATCCAGTCTACACCCACCTCCAATGTGATGCATGCTATCATGTTCTCTTCTTCTCAATATTCTCTGAAAACCAGCAGCTCCTTAAAGTTCTACCAGTGCATGATCTAAGCATACACACAATACACACAATAAGCAAAGACACAAGCCTTGAAAACGATCTTTGAAGTTTGAAACAGTAATCTAACCGCTACATCCATCCATCCATCCATTCACTCCCGCTTATCCTTTTCAGGGTCACGGGGGGCGCTGAGCCTATCCCAGCTGTCATAGGGCGAGAGGCGGGGTACACCCTGGACAGGTCACCAGGCTGTCGCAGGTTTTTCAATTAACCTATCCCCACAAGCTGCATGTCTTTGGACTGTGGGAGGAAGCCTATGGCATTATTTTTGTGCCACTATTCTGAGCGCACGTATAAAAAAAAATAAATAAATTTGAGCGCACGTGAAAAAAAATTTGCAGGTGCAAGTGTTGCATTTTGACGAGAAATTTATTTTGAGCAAAGAAAAGCTAAATTTGAGTAAACAAAATTCATTGCTGCGTGCAAAAACTGTATTTCAGTGTTTGCTATTATCCACACACACAATAGCAGCCCCTCTCGCTCAGTTTTTGCATTTGCGCTTGCTCGAAATGTGTTGCCCGTGTGCGTTAAACTCTTTCTGCACACCGTTATATTTGTGCCACAAAACCAGCCAATCACAGACTTGGATGCAAAAAAATCTGATTGGCTGTTTTCATCTCCAATCAGCTCGAAATGACAAAATGCAATATCCCAGAATCCATTTCGTCCAAAACTCAAACGAGGCAGTGGCGGAGGAACGCAGAGTGGCAGAGTTTGAAATATTACTCTTTCTGGGTCACAAAATAAACGTTTAAGATATTTTCATGCAAGAATGGTGCTGTGTGAACTTCAAATATCTGCTCGATTTATCAAGACATCACATATATGCAAAAGTGCACATAAATTTCTCCTCAAAATGCAACACCTGCAAAATGTTTTTACATGCGCTCAAATTTTTTTTATGTGCACTCAGAATAGTGGCACAAAAATAACAACATAGAAACCAGGGGTACCTGCAAACTCCACACAGAAAGACTATGGCCTGATGGTGGAATTGAACTCAGGACCTTCTTGATGTGAGGCAACAGTGCTAACCACCGTGCCACCACATCCATCTAGCATTTTATAACTTTCATAGTCACACGTATGATAAATCATAGAGATTTATCCTGAGCATGAAGATCCACGGTGCTGGGCACTGTGCACAGGGCCCACTACAGGATGTCGGACGCCCTGTTGCCCCTGTAGTGCACTAGCCCCAGAGGGCCAACAGTTAATTTCAAAAACACCAAAGCAACAGAAACTGATTAAACCCCCTCTGCTTCATAACTGACCAGATCAATACATCAACCTGATGCTCTACTCTGATTAAAAGTCTTCCTTTCATTTTCTGAGCACAGTTTTATGTAAGTATGACTTTCCTGGCTTATCACTGACTTAAAGGAGTGAAACTCTGATTATGTGACTGTGCTAATGGAGCCAATGAAGACTGGTGATCATACTTTTTCAGTCAGAAAAGGATGATGAAAAAAGTGAGCTCAATACCCCAAATTAGATTTCTAGCTCGTGGTTTGAGATTTAGAAAGGATGTCATTACGGTTCTTTAGAAAGGAAATTAACAGATTGTATTTCAGGAAACTACAATAAACTAAAAAGTCACACAGACAAATTGTCATCTGATTCAGGGTTTGTCTTTCCTTTGAACATTCACTGTAATTGCAATGCTGTGCAAGACTGTCAGAGCTCTTCTTCCTTAAAGGATGTGATAAGGCTTTGACAACTAGTATATGTGTCAACTATAATAGGGCCAAATGCCAAATCTCATAGGTCTCCTGGTTATGGAGGATCCAGACTCCAAATCAGAATTAGATAAACACAAACCAACCTTTTTTTAATTGCAGCAATAAGTCCAGATCGTTGAGCAGCGTAAAATAATCCAAACTGGAACACATGCAGAAAACACACATATAAACAATATGATGTGACAAAGAACTGAGGAAAACTGAGCGCTTACATACACACACAGATTCTATAATCTGTTTAGGGATAAGATTAGAGTGGATTAGAGACGCAGCTGGGTGTAATAAGATAATAAAATAAAATATTCCATTCAACGCGTGGGGTCCATTTTCATAGATTCAAAATTAAAAAATGGAAAGAAATGATGGATTTTGTGACAGGCTTCTAGTGACAATCTTTTGCTTTGAGTTATCTGTGATGTGCAGAAGTAACACTGGTTTATTCATTCAGTTATGTGCCTTTTTATGCTTGAATGATTTATAAGTCAGAGTTGCTTAATGAGCCATATAAAAAAACGTACTCTTAAAATGGTCAGGAACAAGGACTGGGCTGAAAATGAGTGAAAAAGCAGCCGATGTCCAAAGTAAAGTTTTCCAGAGA